CAGACAACCCCAATTCGACCGAATGGTTAGGTAGCTGAATTGCACGCAATTCGGTTTGGCTTACTCCTGCTCGCTGACCCATCTGGAATCGTTGAGAAGACAGTCTCCTGCCTCATTGGTGGCGTATAGTCCCATAGTTAACTGCTCGGGTCTTGCAATAACTCTTGTACTCTTAGAAGATGTATTTTAATAAGACTTGTTCTATTCGTGTAAATAGAACAAAAACGCGAAATTATATGGATTTCACGCATGGCCAAAATGCCGGCTTATCAGCGACGCGACACCCGCGAGCCGAGGACTGGGAGAAAGCCATGGAAGAAGAGCTCAAGCGTCCCATATTAACCTAGTAACAAAGCGAGCTACGCGCACATGGATGTCCCGGTGCGCGCGGAAATGCGTTCGAATCCCCAGACTTCTCCATCCCATTGTGAACGCGCGGATATGGCAGGCATAACAAACGCGCAGCCCTTCATCATGAGGCGGCGGCCCCGACCCACGTCGCTGATCCCGGGCGTGATGTACGTACAGTGCACGCGGCCTGGGTGCGGTCTGCTCGAAGTCTGATGCATCATCGAAGTTACACTGCGCACTTGCGGTCGACTCGGAAGTTGGCCGCGGCGGACCAGTCTCCTACCCAGCCGCACTTACGGGGTTGGGGGATCTCAGTAGCGGGCGGAATCTCTTTAGTCATCACAAGAGTCATCGCATAAATGTCATCCATCAACTCACGTGCAATCCAAACTTCAAACTTCCTACACCACCGTTTTGCGACCGAGGGTCAATTCTATGTAAATGAGCCGCCCTAAATTTTACCTTGTAATGACCAGAATTTGGCCCAGATTTGGGCTTAAAATGACCTCGGGACAATGGCGTGGTTTTCTTGTGCAATCCGACATCGGAAACGGCGTGGATCAGGTGAGGTCACGCCGGCCTCAACCGGACATCGGATGAGGCCAAAAATGATGTCGGATCAAGCTCGTGTGGCCGACCTTGAATCAAGGTCAAAAGATGGCTAAGCCCAACGTTGCCCTCCAGCCTCCCCCTTCCCATTTTTTTCTTGCATTCTGTCAATTTCCATACAGCTGGCATGCAAATCTCTTACACTCCCCTTCCGCACCGTACTCTGTGCCCACTCGTGCTTCCGTTTGTCAAACCGGTCTCCAAACGATGAGATATTCCTTTGTCTTGCCAAAGTGGCTCAGGGCCAATGCCTCTGGCAGTCAATCATTTACACTCATGCAAACCGGCAGCTTGGCAGAGCTGGTTAATTGCTTGGTTGAATACTGTTTGAGCATTTTCGGTCGGCAGTTCGAATCTTATTGCTGCAGTTTATTTAAAATATTTACTTATTTACCGCTAGTTGGCCCCGTTTTGACCTCGATTCTATGTCAATGGGCTGACCTTGAAACGAGGTGGGCTCATTTCCCGCAAAACCGGGTCAAATCTTCACCGGATCGAGGTTTCCATCAACGACCCTGGGAAACAGGTCGCTGACAAAACGGTAGTGTACCCCAGCCGTGGAGGGGTTGGCCTTTGAGAGTTCGGAGTTTGAATTAGCTCTAGAACCGATGGATTGATGGGCTATGATGGTATTTGTCATTTTGTGTTACTTATTGAGATTCAGCTTAAACTACCGCTACTGAGATTGCCAACCCCGTAACGTGCGGTGGGTAGGAGCCTGGCGGGTGACCGGTAACTGTGGGTAGCATGATAAGACGCGGTTCAAGGGCGGAGTCAGAGACGTCAGAGCCGGGGCTAGCTCAGGGAGTCTTGAGCAAAATTTTGAGCAGTGGGATCGTATGATGCACCAACAGATTCAGCACCCAAAAGCCAGTGTTACTAGTGAATCACCCCGCAGTGCTTCGTCACTATGTCGAAGCATGAATACAGGGTCACGCGTGCTGCTAGCTGCGGGGTCATGAGCTATGTAACACGCCGCCGCTGAGGATACATACTTGTAGTCTGTCATTTCAAAGTCTGAGAAATGGGCTGTGTAATTGTTGAAGTCGTAGAACTGCAGTTACTTGCGTCGAATTTTCCCAGAAAGATCATGGTGAATGGGGTGCAAAATCTCTCTTTCGGTCTCTCTTCTCTCCTCCCCCTCTTTCCTTTTTCGGGCGTATTTTTCGTAATTCTTTTTGGCACCAACAATACCGAGCGGCGGAGTCCACCGCTCGGACAGCTTTGTGTGCCGGGCACGCAAGCGTATCGCGGAGCAGCTACGTTCGAAGGCAGCGGAACTCTGCAGAATGCTCGATGGAGGACCTTATCGGTCCGCTGCCGGTCAGCAATGGCTTCCACGCCATACAGGTCTGTGCAACCTCATGACAAGCTCCGACTTTATCCTATCCGGATGCCGTACTATCAGTTCATCCACCCAGCCTTGGCTCATCAGAGCAGAAGTATGGTAGTCCTGTTTCCAGTACAGCGGACTGGCGTAGAGTACGACGGCTAGGTATATCATGTGCCAAAAGTAGGCTGCAGCCAGCAGCAAGCGTATCTGGACTGTCCGCACTGGGACAGGAGGCATTGGGACTTCAGGCGCGTCAAATTTCGCTGTCACGCTCGTATACATCACATGATATTGGATCTACTTAATAAGGAAGGTCGGGCAGATCCATGAATTTGGATCTGGCATCCGAACAGGCTCTAAGTATGTACAGCATATTATTTTACACGAAGGGGGCTGGTCTTCAATGCTTGGATCAAATACAGTATGAATGAGACATTCCCAGTAACGTAAAGGCTAACGGAGCGACTCACCAATGCTCGACGATCTCGACGCCCATACTTCTCCTGCGCGACGAGATTTGTGCACTCCTGAGCGAGACAGCTTCGCCACTCCCCATCGTCCCACTCTCCGACGGCTTCAACCATGCCAGAGAAGGCCTCGATCTGTTGGCTGATGACAGCGAGGAGAGCGGTTGGACAAAACGCCAGACGGGCCTGAAGCACACGAAAAGCAGCGTCTGAGGCGGAGCATTGATACCTTTGGCTGTAGAAGGCCATAATCGTGGGGAGATTTGGCAGCTGAAAAAGCAGAGCGAGTAGAGGGTACTGTTCTTTGCCAAGAAGCTGATCGGCGACAACGTAGCCAGACCTGTGGAGGGTCTGGAATGCCTCGCAATTCCTTCCTTGGGGATCGATGCTGAGGATCGACGTAATGGCGGGCGGGAAGAGTTCTGAATGGAGGGGGAAAAGGAAAGCTCCACAGGACACTTGATGGTCCGGCGAAGAAAAACTCTTGATCACAAAGCACCACAATCAAAGCAAGTGGCACAAACCCAACATCCCCCTCTTGCCAAAACCCATCCCCCGACAGGCTCATAACGATGTCGGCACCCTCCAATGCACCCCTTGGAGCTGGATGTCATAGAGCTGGGGGCGTCGGGGCTGGTGCCACTCACCCGACCTCAGTCTCATTTTCACGGTGCTTCGACGTAGTTGCCCTGCGTCCGCGGCCCGACCTACTCAAGAATTGGCCACTTGGCCCGGCGTGTTCCATTATGCATATGCACTCCTCTACCACCTATGCCACCCACTTCTCCTCTCTTTCACCTCCGGGACCGTTGATCCGTCCCTTTCGGCACATCCAAATGGAACAAGCCACCCCACACCCCACCAATTTCACACCAGTACATCCAGGTCCACGCACCACCCACGAACCTCGATCTCATTGCTTCTTGGGCATCTTCCTTCGACGAAGGACCTGCGTGTGGGCACTTGTGCATTTACCCAGCAGACGGCTTGCGGACGGACGCGATGGGAGATACACTACCAACATACATACGCTTGTGGGACCTACGTTATATGGGCACTTTTGCAATTATCCCCGGCTTCAGGGGGGGCGCGGGGCAATGCACTACCAACATACATACACTGTAGGACTCAGCCAGATACCTAGTACTAGCAAAGTAGCCACATAGGCCGTAAACGGCCTGAGCGCTACTATAAATATACTGATTTACACTGATGGTCCGGCGGCGTCACATGTGGGGAGTTAGGCACATTGATACCCATTCTGTCAAAAGAGCCGGCGTCAGAGGAAGCAGGGGATTCCTGTAAATGGCGTACGCGGTGCGATAAAGACTGGTGAGAAACCTGTCATCAGCCTGTCCGGGGGCGTGAAAACCGCGATGCTCACCAGTCTTGATATAAGGCTTGAGCTGGGCGTTCCATAGAATTATTCATGGCCAGAATTTAGATGAGATGGTTGCGATACTTATAGGGTGCGGCACAACAGCAGAGAATATGTATGAATAAGAACAATAAGGCGGCCACGTCAACAATAAGAACAATGAGAACAAATACAACAATGGCGACAATAAGACGGCCAAGATGCCGCAAGACGTGTCAGATCTCGGATCCACTGATCCGAGACGCACCTCCCCTCCAAATTGGGAACAAAAAGGCCTTTCGGCCGACACGCAAAGAACTTGTTTTCTGTGGTTCAAAGACACAAAGGAAATTGCACATGGAGGCTAGAATAGTCGGCATGTTCATTGGCTTGATTCTTGAAACAAGGCGATTTGTGACTACGCCAAATCGGCCCGGATGAAAATTTATCACTCTCTCAATTTTTTAGCAATTGGAAATCCCTCTTGGGGATCTCTTCCCTGGACTAAAACACGCTGTTTCCCAAGAGGAAATAAAAAAAAGATTTTTTTTTGATTGAGTTATTCCACTTGTCACACAGAGGTGGTGACTAAGTGAACCGCACCATAGTCTCTCTAGACAGACGCTGTAATGAAACCAGCTCGTTCCTCGCCCATTACAGTCTGTTTTTTTTTTTTTTTTTTTTTTTTTTTTTGGTGGTGCGTTTGTTATGACCTCAGGCAACTGATAATTGATCAGCCCCTTTGGTCCGCAAAGGACGGAGGAACATGTGACCTCCTAGGCTCCTAACCAACGGCGGGAATGCTTTTACGCACGAACGGCAAATGCCGAACAGTGTGGGACTCGACCAAGATTGGTAATACCCACTAGAACCCTCCTAAATGCGGCTTTACCGGGGTTCGAACCCTCGATCTCGCGAGGCCCGGTGATCTCCAATTTACTCAGAGACCAAGACTGCTGGTTACCGCTAAGCCATGCAGCCCCTACAGTCTGTTAGTTACCGCGTCTGATAAGCGGCGTCCCATCTTATCACAGAATGATGGGTGATGCACAACCAAATAACCCATTTATTTCAAGTGTCCTGGGCCATTGGACGCGAATTTTGGCGTTTGCAGACAACTTAAAGACTCTCACCACCTCTACAGTAAAATTTGGAGGCGAGGGACCTTTCCCTGGACGATTTGACACTCAGAGCCTATGTATTAAGGATGGACACGGGCATCGGGTACGTACACCCGCGGGTATGTTCGGGCTTACCCGTACCCGAACCCGCAAAAACCGTAGTTAACCACGCGCCGAATGTATGGAGGTCGACCTTATTACGTAAAGTGCGGAGTTTAAATTACCCCTCGATGCTAAATGCCCTTCAAACGACCAAGGATTGTAAACTTAAGAGGCCAAATGTCCTGAATCACCACTTAGAACAACTCTGTCTCTTCAGAATTCTTTTGGCACCCTGGTTTGCCACGAAATGAAACGACGGTATTTGTCCGAGCCATCAAAATTCGGCATCATGTTCTGAGCTTCGTGGAGGCAAAATCAGTAAGGTAGGCGCAGTCCGCATCCATCGAGTCACGTGATGTAACAGCGTGACACCGACTCCCGCCCTTACTAGTCGGTAGCGTCGGAGTTGGGACATGTTGGTTTTTCTGGTGCGCGTAAGAATAAGCTGTTAGGCTTAGAGCAACGAAGAAACACAAGAGGGGTTCCGGTTGACTAAGGCTAGGGCATTGCCTGGCAAACGGATGCCCTCGCCACTAAATTTCTCGGGTATATATACTACTACCAAGATGTTCTAGAATATTCTACAAAGCACTAAAGTTTGACCAAGGAAAAACATGGAGCAATCTGGAAGATTCTCCAGCTGGCTAGTTGGAGCACACAGCTTCCACACAGATTCTCTACAGGACATAAAGTAGAACCATAGGAAGGTGTATTTTGAGTGTAGGAACAATCCTATGGTGCCAGAATTTTGATATCTGCCCTCAGAAAAATGTTTATGGCATTTTTTTTTGAAAGTGTCTCAAATGACTGATCCGACACTATGCCGCAGTTTTAGAAATCGGAGCTCGAAAATTCGCGCTTCCCAAAAAGGAAATATTGCAGTCACGTGATATAACATCATGCCTCGCAAAGTGCACGTTGTGGCCACCACACTTGCTTTCTACCCCCACCAGCATCAATTCTCAAGCAGCAAAACCAATGCCCAAGCGAAAAGGACAGTCTAGGACCAAAAATCTTGGTCATTATGCCCTCAAGGTTCATTCCAGCCCCTATTTTTGCACTTGGCTCACTCATTTATGTTTCGGACAGCGGAAACAGACAAGTAGTGGCGATGAGCAACGTACCAAACGATCTCGAAGTGCTGCAAATACAGATTCAGGCTCTGACTCAGGCTCTGACTCAGGCCGGAGTGAGATAGACTCAGGCTCAATGTGGCACCAGTTTCAAGTGCCGCCACACGGCTTCTACTGAGTGTTGTCTCAAAAAGATCCTTTATATGGAACCAGATTTCCTGGCACAAAAATCAATGCTGGAGGAGCATTGTGAGAAGCGTGGATACGAGGTTATTTTCTTTCCAAAATACCACCCAGAGCTCAATTTTATTGAGCAATGCTGGGGTTATGCTAAGAGGATTTATTGCATGTTCCCAGCATCTTCAAAGGAGGAAGACTTGGAGAAAAACTTGCTTGCAGCACTGGATTCAGTCCCCTTAGCATCTATGCGTCGCTTCTCTGTCCACTCATCAAGGTTTGCTGATGCATACTTCCATGGACTGGATGGAGCTGATGCAGCATGGGCAAATAAGACATATCGAGGCCACAGAACCCTTCCTCCCCAGTATCGTGATGATCTTAGGGAGTACAAGCAGCGCAAAAATATTTATTAGATAGGATAAGTAGTGTACTATATAGCCAGCAATAAGATTGTATTTTTGTTTGACTTCACTGTGCAGGAAGGTGTTGTTTCAACCTTAGGCCACAAAAACCAGTCCCCCCCACTCCAATTATAGTGAGAGTAGCACAGAAAAGCCTTCTCAGATTGAGATTTTTTTTTCTGGCTGTCCAGAACGTCCCACGCTACTGTCACCCATCAGTCACGTGCACGTGACTCGATGGATGCGGACTGCGCCTACCTTATTGCATATCGAATCGTGTCCATAACAAATGGGATTATACATATAAGTCCACCATATAAAAAATCCAGGACAATCGGGGCAGAAATACTGATGCCCCAGCTGTCCTGCCCGGAAATGCCCCAAAATATGCTTACCTGAGACCCCCACATCCAGTGAGAAATGTGAGGACACAGAAAACTGCGTATTTTTATTGCGAATCTATTGAGCATGTTTTGAAGGAAAACGGACCAGAACTGTGGGCGCTGTCCTCGTCACAACGATCAAAAACGGAAAAAAATCGACCGCGCCCTAAGTTCCACAAAGATGTAAATGACTGAAGTCAAAATTTAATATTTACCCAGGGAGAAGAGGTACATTTGTGCTCAGAAACTGTTTTCGTTGAAAGGCATAGAAGGGACAAGCAAACATTCCACTTCAGTCATTGGATACAGACACCTCATGCAATCACATTCGCTCATTGGCTGAACCTTTAGGTTTAGCTGCCCTGGAGAAGTCTAAGATCGATTTTGTTCCATTTTGTGCTACAAGTGTCATATTATGCCTGTCATGGATTCGGAAAAACTCGGAATGCAAGTGAGGATTCAGGAAGCCGGAAAGTAAGCGATAAAAAATGCGAATATATTCATTTGACATCTTCTTATGCGTTTCTACTCGTTCCGATGCCGGATTGTAAAGAGAAGGTAATGGTATTCACGGTATATCGAACACTGTCCGTTTGTCATTTCTGCTTTATGGTCAGTATCCGTCGACGTGAGAATCTTTCGCGTGCCGCGCAGCAGGTTCCTCCCCAGCCGCGGTTTCGAGGCTCACAATTTCAATAGCAGGAGTTTAAATTGAATATAGAAATTGGTTACCGGAAATATAGGACCGTGTTATGCGTGATACACGTGATGTTTAAGGATGGACACGGGTACACCCGCGGGTACCTTCGGGCCTACCCGTACCCGTACCCGCAGAAACCGTACCCGTGGACGGGTCGGGTCTAAACCCGTATGGGTTTACCCGCGGGTCGGCAGACCCGTCGCGGAATTTCCAACATAAATGATATTTTATTGTCAAATATGGTGTAGTAAAATGTAGACTACTCAACACTCTCATTACTTTCATTTCCCGAGCCATTTGCGTTGTCCTAAACCCAAACACGCTTGCGGTTTTTTGGGCTACAAGCTGCTATCAAGTCGTTGATCCGAAGTAAGTCGCGGCGTCCCCAAGATCCCAAACAAAGTAGGTGGAGGAAAGAGGCGACCGGGATTGAACAGATGCGGCGCACACAGCACACTGGGAGTGCGGCACATCCCATTCATCTACGGCACTTCGCCATCATCGGCGGCACACTGGTGCCAAGTGCGGCACATCACATGCGGCACCTTCCACACACCGATCGAATCATCGGCACACCGGCACGTGACTCGTTGGCGGAAGGTTTTCGGTGTGAATTGTGGTTGGAATATGTCTTAGAAGTACCCAGCATAAGAAGTTCTTGCTTAAGTTGGAGGATCGTAGTACTTAGAAACGCGCACACGAGTAAATTACATCACTAGAGACGAGAATGATGGTATAAATCTACAAGACAAAGCTAATCTTTACGCGTCACATACTGCTACACGGCCGCGAAAAAATCGGACTCGTCCGACTCCGAATCAGAGAGAATCTCGAGCACCTCGCGGCCCCCCTCCTCTAGAGTACATATTTGGGTTCAATGTGGCCGGTCCCGCGGAGGAAAGACGCGTCGTCGACGCGTCATCCTCAACTTTGACGTGTTCTATTGGAGATCCAGAAGCCGGGGAGCTCAACTCGGGTGTAGGTGTGCTCCCGACAAACAGCCCAAGCGCGTCGACGTCGATCCACTCGTGATTGATGGATCTATTCACGTGTGCTGCGATATATGCCGGGTGGTGGTATTAAAGCGCGCAATAAGTAGCACCGCCTGTGGGAACGCGCACCGAGCTTCGAAAGTCCATTAACACACACGTCGGGCCATCGATGAATTGCAGGTCGGCAACAGAGTGTCTGGAGGTAATATCGGTGAGCATTGGGCCATGTTTTCGACGCGTTCTTGTTGGGTTGGATAGCAGAGAGTAGCGGGGGTGGTGGTGGTAAGAGAGAGAGAGAGAATTATTGTCTGTTTGGACTCGGCACTGTCTGTTTGGCCCAACGCACGAAAATCAGAATGTGCTGCACTCGCGTTGCGACGCGAAGATGACGCGGCACATTACCCGATTCAGTAGTGTGCCGCATTTCAACCAAGTGCGGCACATGTGCCGCACTTGAACGATATGTGCCGCAGATCATCTGTGTTCACCTGCTGCATCTGTTATATCCTCAGAGGCGACGGAGATGCGGTTACGGGTGAAGTGCAGCAGACGGCGCCCATGCGAGAAGACACGCTCGACAGCGACAGAGGTGGCTTCCGTTTGTATTGATGAGTGTCTACTGACTCTAGTCTTATACAATGATGCAAAATAAAATACTCACATGGCACACTAAGATAGTCCAGCGCAAGTTGATGAAAGAAGGGATACTCGCGTCGATGGGCCCACCACCATTTTATGGGGTCATCAGTTTGAATTCAAATTTTCTTTCTGTTTGTGTGTGGTAAAATACTAATTTTGGAGCTCAAAAACCCGCGGGTACACGGGTCGGGTACGCGGGTTGAGGGCGGGTCTGAAATTGCGACCCGTACCTGTACCCGCCTGGACTGAATCCCACATCGCTTACATCCAGTGAAACTCAACAGTGCATGTTGTTTCTTCGGTCCAGCAAACGAAAAGCTACCCTTTTGCCAGAGAGTTCACGCAAGGCTTAGACTCCCAATCTTTCCTTGTTTCATTTCATTGGAGGGA